CCGAGCTGAGCCTGGGCTTGCTTGTGTTCGGCTTTGTTTACATCCCTAGATGTAATACACAAAATATGTAAGATGACATCTAGTAAATCCTCTAATATAACAACTGTTTTTTATTATTTTGTAATAGAGATATATATATATATATATATATATATATATATATGAAAAAGGATCTCGTTAAATATACATTTTTCACTTATTTTTTAAATTTTTTTTACAAATAACCGAATTTTTAAAAATAAATGAAATTTAACCGTTGCACAAATGTAGCCGTTACTCCATTGCACGCATATTAAAAATTCAAATTATAAACCTCTAAATCTGCATTCAATCAGCTATTAAAAACAGCACAGTTCTTTCTAATTTCACCCGCAGTTCCCGTCTTAACCTCAATCCTATTCATCTTCTCCATCGAACGAGCGAAATCATTAAAAAATACTTCAAGAGAACCCTCAGAGAGCTTCAAGATCTGAGCTTTAATGGCGGAAACGGTGGTTAGAGCTGCATCAGACTGAAACAAACCTCTGCGTTTCAGCAGAAGCTTATAATAACCAAGATCGAATGTTCTGAAGCTTCCTGGATCCATTTCAACTGTGGTTATGTTGTCGTTTGGAGATTTGCATTTAAATTTCTTGAGATTGGAGGCGTAGAGCTTGTCCAGAGATGGATCTTCATCACCTTTTCCGGTGAAGTTGTAAAGGCGATTGGTGAAGGATGAGCAGTGAGAGATTCCGATTGTGTGGGCTCCTGATTAAGGTGAGAAAATGGAAGAAATTATAATTAGTTAAGCAATGTTTATTATTACAAATTTTTATATGATTTATTTGGAACTTTGTGGCTAATTATACATAACTTGTATAAATAGTTGTTATTTTCTAACAATTTTAGCAATGTTTATTGGCCTTTTGCATAATTGCACTAATTAAAATTATGCTTATAGTTTGTGCAATTAATTAGCTATATTTTTATAAAAATATGTTACTAAATAAATTTTTTTAATGGTTAGTATGTTCCATTAATCATAATATTAAGTATAAGAGAGATTTACATAGCTATCACTCAGTTCATATCTATTAACATATCAACCGCCCAAACTTTGACCATCCAACATATGCCAAAAACATAGGAGTCTTGCGATTTGTCGGTAAAAATTGAATTTTGGGTGGTTGATATGTTAATACATAAGAATTGGGTGGTACACATGTAAAGACCCCTAAAGAAGTACATACAAAATTTAAAAATAATAGCTTTTAAATAGACCCATCATAATGATATTATTTCATATGTTAAATTAAATGCTCATTTAATTGTTTTTCTTTATAAAATAGGTTTTAGAAAATAATAATCATTTACTTTTGTAAAATTTTGAGGGCGAAAATTAAATCACCACTTTTAAAGAAGTTTGACTTGTGCTCTCACCAAACTAGATTGTGAAATCAGAATCTATTACATAGATTTGTTTCATTGACTTTCATGTATCCTTGAAAACTATAAAATCTCAAAAATATATGTTATATACAAAATTATTATTTTAATTTTCTTACCTACAACGCATAAATATTATATAAAGAGATAATTGCATGATGTTGAAAATGATCAATTAGTTTTCTTCTTCATTAAACTAGACATAATAGAGGCAATGGTCAAAGAAGCAGCCATCAGAGTGATTAGAGGTTGAAATATAGTAGTTATCTTGGCTAACTAGCTATATCTAGCTTAATGATAGATTTAACAAGTTTATCATATTTCAAAGCATAATTTTTAACTTCACAAAATCAAATAAGCCTTAATGATAAATGTGGGTTTTTTTTTTTTTTTTGAATTGCTTGATAAAACTAAGTATTGTTGAGATAAGCATGTTTAGACGGACGAGCGGATTTACACTTAAAAGACAAAATACGGAACAAAAATGGTTGGTGTAGCTCCAGTGGCAGACAAGATTAGAGAGAGTTGTCTTAGATGGTTAGGCCACATTAAATATTGACCATGTGATGATCCGGTTAGACGACTAGATGTTCTAGATTCAGCTTATGTTAAAAAAGATAGAGAAATATCTAAAATGATCTGGGCATGTTGTATAAGAAAAACGATCTTCATTTAAACGAAAATATGACACTCAATAGGATGCAATAGAAAAAAATGATTCGTGTAGCAGACCCCATTTAGTGAGATAAAGACTTAATTTTGTTGTAGAGTTACCTGATAAAAGAATCAGATCGGTAAGATTAAGCCCTTTATTAGCAAATGATTTCTGAAGAGAAGTGAAATTCGAAGTTGGAGGTGGAATGTTGTTCAAGGCCTCTGTAGCATTGGAGATCAATCCATCCCTCCTCCCAGTAGGAACATGCCAAAATGGACCTCCCTATTGACATCAATGCACGATTTCATTCAGTATTTATATAATTTAATGACTTTTATATAAGTAAAATTGAGAATATATAAATCTTACAACAACTGCAACTGCATCTCTCGCAGTTAAAGCCAGAACATCAGCACAAGAAACAACACCAGGGCATTCTTTTTCCACTAAGCTTTTGATGCTATCAATGAATCCAAAACCTCGAAGGGATAAATTGGGCGTTGCAGATTTCTCTGTTTGGTTTGTACTGGTCGAGTTGATTAGAACGGACGCATCACAACCCTGGGTGACAAAAAAATAAAAATATTACAAGTCAAAATCAAGGAAACATGCTATGGAACCATAATTTCAAATATTATTAAGAAAATGAGTATAGGAAGTCATCATAATCATGCATTAATTAAAAATTATAACAAAGAGATCCATTGGTTAGGCAAAATCAACTTTGGCATGTAGTGCTAAGTTAATTATAATGATAAAATATGATGATGAAAGATTAAATATATTAAGTAAAAAAAATATACTCAAATGAAATTGGTGAGATCCACTTATCCATGATCACAATAAGATAGAATAATCTACTAACATATGTAGGGTTATTAAACTTCAAATAAATAGAGAGTTGGAGATAAGGAAAGAGCTGTCACTTTGTCTATGTCACTTGTTAATTATTTAGAAAATGAGTCATGATAGAGGCTTTGTCACTTTTATTATTGCACATTTTTTTTTTTAATTTCACCAGCTAGCAAGAATCTTTAGCACATCTTTATTCATGTATGAAAGTCGTGAAAAATTATTACGTGAATTCATATACATGCAGACTCCATGTACAACTCTATTGTACGTTACTGTACGCATATTGTACAAAGTATACAACAAGATCATACCAAAGTCTTTAAGTATATGAACTCCGTACATAATATTCTCTCCCTTTTCAACGATCACTTAAAAAATTTATCATTTATTCTCTCGGTTGGCAACATTTCTATTTGCTTATGATTATGGATTGTCAAACTATTCCTTCTAAGATTCTATTTCTATCTATTAAGAAATATGAAGATTTGCATGCATGCCACATAATACCTACGTATTTATATATCTAACAACAAAACATAATTATTTTTCTGACAATTATAGCACTTTACCAAAACATGAAAAATGTGCATTTGTTATAATGGCATTTTCTTATGTGAAAAATTTGCATGTTATAAATATTAAAAATTATATTTTTGATGTTAGACATGAATATTCATCTTAATATAGTGGTACATATTTAAATGACCCTAAGAAATTTGGAAATAAAGAATTTATAATAGAATCTCGAACACAATATATTATAAAATCTCTTAATAAGAATTTTTTTTAAATAATTTTTTCATTAAATATATATTT